TTAATATTATTGAAGATAAAAAATAAAGTTGAAACTAATTCGATAAGTAATAATTAAAAAATGTAGTTAAAAATTAAAAAATTAAAAAGGATAAATTTGTCAATAAAATTAAAAAATTTCAATCTGCTAGTAATTTGAACCTTAATTGCCATCCAACAGTACCAAATCGCTAAATAAAAAGTTTTACCAAATACTTAATTTTTGACAATTTCAAAATAAATAAGTTTACCAAATACTTATTTTTAGTGATTTGAACAAACTACTAACTATTACCTCTAAACCACTATACCAAACATGGCTCAAAACAAGAGCTGACATTCTCCCATTTCAATTTTAAGCATTATAAATTATATCCATATATTAAAGTGTTCCCTAAGCAATACGTAAGGGACAAAATTTTGCATTTTGTTGAAATTAAAGAATTTATCTATATCTATATCTATGTATCTATCTGTAAATATACGAAATGTTACTCTATGCATTAATTAGGCTATTATTACTTGAAAATTAAAAAAAAAATACATAGGGTGAATTTTATATTAATGAATAATTGGGAAGTTTCATTTTATCTTATAATGCATTGATTAGACACCAAATATTATCATTTTAATTTTAATTTTAAAAGAAAAATATACATGTTATTAAAAAAACTAGTTTTTATTAGCCCGTGCTTTGTATAGGATTATTTCTCTGTTTTTTATATTGTTTGTTTAATTTTATAATAATTTTTAATAAGAAAATCTAAATTGATTTAATTATTAAGAAATTATTAATAAGAATAAGTATTTTTATTTTGAATTTATTTTAAATTAATTATTATTTTTTATTTTTTAAAGTAAATAAATATTTCTTTCTTATGTTCCCATCATTATCCATTCATTTTAATTAATCACCCAAACTACAAAAACTCTTTTCTTGTCTTTTATTTCTTTTTTAAGCATATTGTAGATAAATATAAAAATTTTCCTTAAATACCTAATTTGGAGAAAAAATAAAAAAACGATAGTTATTTTGGTGTAGAAAGAGTATATAATAAATTCATTAATAAATATATTTAATATATTTTCTAATAAATCAATTATTCTTACACATTTTTTTTATCAATCAAATGTTTTTTTCCTTTAACTAAATATATATTTTAATTTGTTAAACTCTTTTACTATCTTTTTAACTTATAAAACTAATAATTTTAATCAATGTTTTACATGCCATTTTATTTTTTTATAACACGTATTAATATCATTTATATTAAAAATGTTTTAGTCTTTTTGTGTTAGTTTTAGTTTTAAATTATATTAATTATTAATTCAAGACTTACTTTACACCTCTTTTTTCTATTTATTCTCCAATACCAACCTCGAACACAGTCTTTTTTTTTTTTTTAAACTTTTGACAATAATATGAAAGCTTAAAAGGCATTTAAAGATGTCTTAGTGGAAAATTTTGGAAAATTTTAGATTTAAATAGGAATGAATTTGAGAAAAGAAAATGGTTAATAGTATAATAAATAAATGATAGATGTCTTAATATTTAAAAAGCTGAATTAAAAAATTAAATTAATAAAAATATTACTCGCACAGTGCCATGTATTGTCTAATAAAATAATAGATATTTTGTTTGACAATTGTAAGATACATGAGACTAAATGAAAGAACCCAACATAAGAAAATGATGGAAAATAAGATTAAAAACCCATGAATGGCAAAAACAAAAGTGAATTAATCCGTGCGTTTTAGCAAATATAATTTTTTACTATTTAAAAATAAAAATAAAAATATAATTTTTATTTAGCAAATGTGATAATATGCAAAATAAAAAATATTAAAACATTACAGACATATATTTGGCACTTATTTTTTAACATCCATGTCATTTAGAATGGTATAAGTTAATAAATAAAACAATATTTCTACAAAAGTATTTGAAGAATTTGAGATTATTTTCATAAAAAGAATAATTAATTATTAGATGAAAACTATACTAATATTACCTTTATTATAAAGAAAAAGAAGTAAAATGAATGGATCTTTAAATGTGAGAGCAACAAATAACTAAAGTGAAAGCAGACTCCTTACATAAAAAACAACAATACAAGAAAACAAGGTTTTTTCTCTTATAAAAAATAAAACACCATCACTGAATTTCACTAATCAATTGGATAGAATAAAAAAAGAAAAAATAAAAGAAAACTAATGAAGAAATTTAGCGTAAACAATCTAAATTTACCTAATCAAAGAACCTCATAATTAGCACTTTTCTAAAAAATACCTTTCCATCAAACCAAAACCAACATTAGATTTCAAACAAAAATTAAAAACCCACCATAAAAAGCCACAAAAAAAATATCAAACTACCACCAAATTTTTTAATCAATTATATTTTTACAAAAAGAATAAGAAACTACTAATGAAATTAAACCAATATTACCTTTGATGGTAAGAAAAAGATGTAAAATAAACAAATCACTTAATGAGAGAATAATTAATAATCAAAGAAGATGCAACAAGGTCACTACAAAAAGAAAATCAGCGTAAGAAAATAAAATAAAAGTAAAAAAAATATGACAGCCGTACTGAATTTTATTAGTTGATTAGATGGGAGAGCAAAAGGAAAAATATAAAAAACTCCGGTGAGGCCATTTACTTCTAGCAACAATCCTTTTCATTATCCCGTCATTTATTTCTACTATCAAATTTAATTCTAATCATTAGTAGTTAAGTTATATATAGTTTGCATTTTATTTTCTCATTTAATTAAATTAATTATTTAAAATGGAAAAAAAACTTTTCATTTTCAATTATGGTATAATAATAGTAATTGTGGTTATATTTTTCATTAATTTTTTAATAAATCTAAATTAAAGCTTCTTAAACTTTCTTCACCTTTAGTATTTTCATAATGTATTGTATCTTCATAATAATAATTAGACTCTCACTCCTTCTTTATTTTACCTTTCTATTTAATAATAACACATATAATGTTAAAAATGTTTAGTATACTTGTGTAAACTTATCTTTCACATAAGGGGAAACCTAAAAGGTGCCTCCCTTTCTTTTCTTTTGGTTTAATATATATGTAATGGAAAATAACGATAAATATGTTAGTTTATTATATATCAAATAATTAGATGAGCACGCATGTTACTCCCATTTAAGAATTATTGTTGTTATTAGTATTATTATTTATTATTATTACTATTAATACTAATTTCAAAATATGTGCTATGAAAAATAGAAATGAAGCATATTTTATTTGGCCTTGTAAAGATGAATTAACAAATAAATTATTCAAAACAAAATCTAATTTTAATTATTAGAAAATCTAATTTGTTCAAATTGATTCACCATGAAAGATCAAAGTGTTATGCTTAAGTGGTTTTGCCTTCAATAAATTTAAAATAATATCAATCAACTACGTACGATTAGTTAATCAAGTATCATTTCATTTAATTAAAGAAAAATAAAATTCATTATTTTTTTAGAATGGAGAGTGCTAGGGTCAGAGCGAGTGAAACGGCAACTTGGGATGACAACAGTTTTCGACAGTGGCAAGGGCACGAGTGACATGGAAATAGGCAAGGGGTTGCAGGTTTTGATTCACGATTTCTTGGGCAGGTCTAGACATTCTTCTTCTACAATTTTCTAAAGGAATTGAAGGCAAAGGACTTGTGGCAACGCTTTCAGAGGTACAGTTGTGTTGCTGATGTGTTTATACTAGGAAGGAATGATAAATGGGGGAAAAGGTTTGGGTTTGTGCGTATGGTGGGGGTATAGGATGTTAAGCATATGGAAAGGCGGCTTAGCGACATTTGGTTTGGTTCCTATAAGGTGAGGGTTAAGGTTGCTAATGACTGGAAGTAGAGATGATCAGGAAATCGGCAAGCCAATGAAAGGCTAAGTCGGAATAGGATGCAGGGATTCATGCAAACGGGAATGTCATATGTCCAAGTGGTGGTGGGGAACTCTAGTAAGGCAGAAGAGGTTAAGGAGAGTGAAAGGCTTCTTAGTGTGAATGAGAGATCTAAGGAAATTGTGGTGAAAGAGGTGAAGGGTAATGGTGTTAAGGAAGGTGGAGACAAAGAAGGGCTTACAAGGATGGAGATAATTGATTTCTCTCCAATGATAGAGGAAACGAACTGGCTTGATGGGAGTATGGTTGTGATAGTTATGTTAATGGCATTGGTAACAGGGATCGAAAAGAGATTTGATGTTGAATGGGGCTTGCTCACGGTACCATTAGGAGGTAGAGGTGTACTGTTAACTGAACGAGTGCAAGGGTATTTGAGTGAATACATGGTGCAAAATAAAGAGTTGTTTGATCTTTGGTTTGAGGCCATTTTTCCATGGGCAAAAGCACTTGTGAACAGGTGCAAAATGGCATGGCTGAGAACTTCTGGGGTGCCATTGAAATCCTGGAGTGACAGGTGCTTTGAGACAATTGGAGGTTTGGTTGGGGAAGCGCTACTTGTTCATGAAGATACAAGAATGAAGTCTATCTTGTGTAATGGACGAGTGTTGGTGCTATGCTTGGAAATGAATAAGGTTTCAAAAACCTTGTAGTTGATAATGGATGAACAGCTTTATGAAATTATTCTGATGGAAGAGGAATGGCGAGCAGATCCAGATTGATGGCTATCGAATAGTGATTGGCTGGAAGTTACGATGACGGAATTGGAATCTTCTTCACTGGAAATTGGTGACGAGGATCATGAAATGTTAAATGCCAAGATATGTGGCAATGAATATGGCAGTATTGAAGAGGAGCGGTTACATAAGGAAGGTGATACAATTGCAAATGGGAGAGAAGTAATGACAGTGGAGGGGTTTGAAAAAGATGGTGAAGATGGGCTTTTTAATATTGGGCCAACATTGTGTTGTGAGGATGGGTTAGAAACTGATATTGGGCTAGCAAATAAGTTACCACATGGAGGGGAAAATAACTACAGGGACAAATCGACAATTGGGGAGAATCTAAATGCACAAATTGAATCAAAGATTAAGGATTCGAAGGGGAAAAAGAAGAAGAATATCCGAGAGTGCTACCAAGGAGATATGGCAGAATGCTAGGTAGAAGAGCAACAGTGGGTAACAGCAAGGACAAAGGAGCGAAGGTAGAGGAAAGAAAAAGAACTACAGATTGCAGAGCACAAAGCAAAGTGGGCTAGGAGTGATTCTTTGTCGAATGGTTGCATTGCTCATAAGAATTAGGTAATACAAAGGCAATTGAATGTAAATGAGGTGAAGATGATGTTTAGAGTGGGGAGAAGATTGGGTATTCAAATACAAGAAAATGAAAAGGAATTACAATCTACAATGTTGGAGATGGAGTGTCGGGAAGATAAAAGGGGAAAGTTTTGATGGTTGGGGGTACTTAGGTTGATTGGGTTGTGTTTAAGCATTGTTATGAAGTTTATGTCTTTTAATGTTAAGGGTTTAGGGGGAGGAATGAAGAGGAAGGAGGTGGGTAAACTACTTAGAAAGAAGCGTCCAGATTTTCTATTTTTGCAAGAGATAAAATTAGAAACTATCAAGAGTAGTATGTGTAGATCATTGTGGTATGTAGATGAGTTTGATTGGCCATGAAGAAATCAGTCGGAGCCTCAGATGGGTGGTTGTGTGTATGGAATAAGTTGGTTTTTGTCAAGCAGGGAGAGTTTGAGGGAAAAGGCTATGTGGGTGTTACAGGGGAATGGGGGGTGGAAAAGGTGAAATGCAGCTTTGTGAACATTTATGCTCCTAACGACAGGCAGAAGAAAGTGCAGCTATGGAATGAGCTTCAACATAGGATTTTAACGCATGAAGGGCGATGGTTGATAGCAGGTGATTTTAATGTGGTACATTATCTTAAAGAGAAAAAGGGTCAAATAGGGGAGACTCTAGAGATGAGGGACTTTGATGATTTCATTGTAACAACTAGGTTAGTGGATTTAAGATTGGAAAATTGAAAATTCACATGGTATAGACCAGATAGGTCATCTATGAGTCAATTGGATAGAATGTTGATGATAGGAGGCATGTGCAGCATGGGGAAAGATTGGATACAACAAGGGTTGCAAAAGACAGTGTTAGATCATTGTGCAATTATTCTGAAACCAACGACAGCAGATTGGGGGCCAAAGCCTTTCTGAGTGTTGGATGCATGGCAACAGCATCAGGAATTCAAGAAGGTGGTAAAGGAGAAATGGAAGGAGATGACAGTGGAAGGGTATGCTGGTTACAAATGTAAGCAGAAGTTAAAAATATTGAAAGAATTTCTAAAGGCTTGGAATAAGGAAATATTTGGGGATATGGAGTCAAAGTTCCAAGATGCTACAAAAAAGGTGGAACAAATGGATATGAGGAATAAGTCACATGAGATGGAGGAGTTTGAGTTGGATCTAAGAAGAGCAAGTTTTGAGGAAATGTGGGATATTATGAAGAAAAGGGAAGCTATATGGAAGCAAAAATCACAAAGTGATTGGATTCAGCTGGGAGATAATAACACAAGATACTTTCATCGAGTTGCAAATGGGAGAAAGGTTCAGAATAATATTACAGGGATATGGTGTGAGGGCCAGTGGGTGAAGGAACCAGATGTAGTAACGTAAATGGTGGCCAATTATTTTCGCAAGCTATTTCAAGAAGAATCTTGGAATAGGCCAACGCCTTTAAGAATTAATTTTAAGAAGATCTTGGGTGAGAAGAGGGAATGGTTAGAACAACCTTTCATTGCTAAGGAAATTGAAGAAGGTTTGAACAACTGTGATGGGAGAAAGGCTCCAAATCCAGATGGGTACAATTTCAATTTTCTAAAATTGTTTTGGAGTAGCTTAAGGGAGGATTTTGTTACATTTTTTGGGGAGTTTTATCAGACGGGTAGGTTGGTAAGAGAGTTGAATTCTTCTTTTTTATCTTTAATTCCTAAAAGGCTCAACCCTATAGACTTAAAGGATTATAAGCCTATTAGTCTAATTGGGTGAATGTATAAATTGTTGGCGAAGGTGGTAGCTAACAGGCTTAAAACAATGATGCTAGACATGATTAGTGAAACTCAATCTACATTTTTGGGGGGTCGTCAATTGGTTGATAATGTTTTGGTTTTGAATGAAGTAGTGGATGAGGTTAGAAGGAAGAAGCAACGGGCTTTTATTTTCAAGGCAGATTTCGTAAAGGCCTATGATTGTGTTAACTGGTCATTTCTGGAATGGATGATGCAAAGGTTAGGATTTGGAACTAAGTGGCTGGGATGGATAATGGAGTGCCTTGCAACAGCAAGGGTGTCGATTTTAGTAAATGGAAGTCCAACGAAGGAGTTTGCAATGGGGAAAGGTCTACGACAAGGTGATCCTTTATCACCTTTTTTGTTTTTGATGATTAGTGAAGGTTTGGCTGGTTTGGTAAAAAAAGTAGAGCAGGAAGGGCTGTTACATGGAGTGGAGATTGGACAGCAAAAGATGTCCATCTCTTTGCTTCAGTTTGTCAATAATACAGTAATTGTAGGCAAAGCTGAGAGTGAGAATATTAATATGGTTAAAACCATTTTAAGATGGTTTGAGATGATGTCAGGACTAAGAATTAATTTAAGCAAAAACAATGTGTATGGGTTTAATGTGACGGAGAGATGGTTGAAAAGGGCAATAGGTGTGTTGAGATGTGGAGTAGGGGAAGCACCTTTTATATATTTGGGGATGCCTGTAGGGGGTAGTCCAAGGAGTAAGAAGTTATGGGATCCAGTTGTAAATATATTTCGTGCTAAGCTTGCTGTCTGGAAATTTGGTTTGTTGTCCTTTGGAGGTTGTCTCACTTTGCTTAATTTGATACTTTCTACTGTCATAATAGTTTATATGTCTTTATTTTTAATGCCAAATTCTGTGGTTGCTGAGCTGATTTCTATTCAAAGGAATTTTTTTATAAGGGGATGAGAAGGAAAAAGGAAGATTTCTTGGGTGAAATGGGAATCTCTGTGTTAGTAAGGTGAAAGGAGGTTTAGGGGTAACGAATCTTCGTAGGAGAAATTGGGCATTGTTAGGAAAATGGTAGTTTAGGTTAGGTGATGGCAAAGAGGGGTTATGGAAACGAGTGGTATGGGAGAAATACTATGAGGGTAGGCAAGAAGCGGATATTACTATGATACAAATGACGAGGGTGTTTAAGATTTGGGAAGATATTATAAGTGTCGGGGGGAAGTCACTCAAGATAAGGGATATGTTGGTGGGGGGGTTTAGGTAGGAGGTAGGGGATGGAAGTCGAGTAGGTTTTTGGGTAGGAGATAAATCTCTAAGGGATTTATGTCCAAGGTTGTTTCAGCTAGTTGGGGATAAAGAAGGTATGGTTAAGGAGATGGGGAAAAGGTAGGGGTATATGTGGAGATGGCATATAGAGTGGAGAAGAGAGAGACTAGGATGTGAGCAAAGTGAGGAACAAGAGTTATGGGAAGTGCTGACCAGCATACAAATTAAGGAGGGGTTAGCAGATTGTTGGAAATGGAAATATGATGTAGAGGGTAAATATCACGTGAAGAAAGATTATGATTTTTTAGCTACTTCGGAGTGTCTATTGGAGGCCCAGTTTTCTCAATGGATTTGGTGTAGGCTAGTGCCTTCTAAAGTGAGTTTTTTTTGGTTGGAGATTGTGTCTTGATAGATTGCCTACAAAATGGAATTTGCAAAAAAGAGGGGTAGTTCTACAGGGGGATGGTTTGATGTGTGGTTTGTATGGAGGTAGTGGAGGAAGTAAATCATTTGTTTTGTACTTGTAAGGAGGCTTGGCTAATATGGGTGAAGCTAATATGGGTGAAGGTGTTTCATTGGTGGGGTTTGGATGTGGTGCTGCCGGATACAATGCAGGGAGTGGCTGAATTATTTAGATGCAGCTTGGGTAGGTAAAGAGGTCAATGCATCTATTTTCCTTGTGGTGGGGTGGTGTATATAGTTTTGGAGGAATGTTAGAGTGTTTGGGAGGGGAGGGAAGGGGAGTTTAAGGAGCAATTGTTGGAAATGATTCAAGCCAAGTCTTTTTACTAGGTTAAGATGAATGTGGCTGGTTGCGCTTTCTCATATTTCCAATGGCAGTTCAATCCAAGGGACTATGCAACAACAATAAAAAGGCACAATAGGTGTTTGAAATTGTTTCATCAATAGCATAAGGTCTAGTCATGATGGTAGTTTAGAGTTGTTTATTTTGGTTTATACTTTTGATTCAAGAGGTTATGAGGAAGGTTTTTATTTCATTGCTATTCCTGTTGGTATTGTGAGAGAATGAATTAATTTGTATAATGATAGGAGTACCCCTTGTGCTCTATCTAATAAAGTTATTTGTTTGCTGATCAAAAAAAGAAAAAGAAAAAAAAATTCAAATAAATATCATGCAATAACACTAATATAAATTACCTTTGATCTTCAATATGTAACTACGTCTAAGCAATATTACTACCATTTACTTGCCTTTTTGTGGAGTCCCAACACCAACTAAAACTCCAATAACATCTAAAGTTTTAATAAAAATATTCTCAATAAAAATGAGTCACATAATCTTTTAATAAAATTATATTAAGATAAAAAAGAAAATACCACAAAGGAATTTTTTCTTCTTCTTCTTCTTCTCAAAGTGAATTCTCATAATCAATGAATTCAAATACAAATCTTAGGATGACTATGACTTTTCATTAATTCAATTCTTTGACAATAGTATTAAGATGGAATTGTTATAAGAGACAATACCATATGTGTCCTTAGTCTTTTCCACATAAAAATTTTTCATGTAATAAACATTTCCTTCAACCAATTTACCTTTAAATCACAATGCATTGGAACTCCAAGCTACAACATGAATAAAATTTATCTGCAAACAAAATAACTATTATTAATAGAAATCATTTAGTACCTAAAAGACCAAATGTAATAATTCATAAAATTACCTTATTATCGACCAAAACTATTTCAGTAGTCAAATGGTCTCTATCATGTTTCATATTAAATATATCTTACAATCTTCTTTATGGGGTGAAAGTTGATCATGAAAAACATATTCCATATCTTTTGCAATTGATTTATCCTTAAATATTTTAAAATTTTTAACAACAAAGTATTTCAAAATAAGAGAACAAATGTAACCTAATTAGGGAAAAAACAAATTGCTAGTTAAAATCCAATGCCTATTCATAGTGAGAAAGAGCAATCCAAGCAACTATCCTCTACAACCAAAATTTGAATTTAGAAAACTCTTTAAAACAAAACAACAATAATAATAATAAAAAAGTTCCACTGACCACAATTATGAAACAACTTGCAAAAGAAATCTTTAAAAAAAAAAAAAAATGTAGGGAGTTTAAATAGTCGACCATTGACTCTTCGTTTTCTTTTTGTTAGATAATTTCTTTGCCGTTTTTGAATATTTAAATGGTTTTGCTTCATCTACTAAGACAAATTAATTAACTTGTCTCTTCACTTATCTTACAGTTTTAAGTTTTTATTATATTTTATGTAAAATTTATGTAAATGTATATCCTATAATTAATACATAAAAAGTAGCATTTTATATAATTATATTTTTATATTTTATTATTATATTTTATGTAAATTTTATAATTTATATAAATGCATACCCTATTTAATGCATAGGGTAGCATTTTATATATATATATAGATATAGATAAACGATTACATTAAATGATAAATAGTCTTTCTCTATACCCTTCAACCTTCCTACCCACTTGTAAATAAACCTGAACTTTTCTCAACATCAATATATTATATTCTTCTCTTCATTTCTTCAATTTTTTTTTGCTAACAAGATGAGTTCCAAATATTATTTTTCTTTTTGTTTCCTATTTTATATTGTAACTAAATATAATATTACATTTTTATTTGATTTGTCTCTTTTCCTCTTTATCCAAAATATATATATTGTTATATGAACCATTTTCTTTATTAGTCCTATTATTATTTTTTATGAATTTCTTATAGAACATGTGATAGTTGCTCTTTTGAAAGAATTCCATAACTTTATCTATTTGAAATTTATGCATTCTTTCTTTTGAGATTACTAGTAGTTTGATTTGTGTGTGTGTGTGTTAAGGAGAGAACTTTATTCATGGGATTAGAGTCCATTAGAGTAACAAAAGTATGAATTTGACAAAAATCAACTCATATGAAAATATTGCTTCTTCTTCTTCTTCTCCTTTTTTTTTTTTTTGAGAAAAGATAATGTTTCTTATTTTATTTATATTATATTATTATTAACTTTTTGGTCCTTTTAATTGTAAATTTTATTTCGCATTCCTTATAAATTATATATATTTAGTATTATTGTCACATATTTGGAAATATGCATCCAATTGCAGTAAAATCTCATTCAAATCAGTTTCTTTTTGTAACTTTGATTTGAGTACTTATATTAACATATCAAAGTAGTTTGTAATATAACTTAAGGAATAGAATAGAAATGAACAAAAATGATAGGAAATTGGAAATGAGAGAAGGGATAAGAAAAAATCATAAAACAAAATTTTGTAAGGAATTATAGAAGAAAGAGTTGGTAAAGATTTATGTAAAAAAAAAAAAGAATTGTTAAATACTTTTTCTTATTTTATAATATATACTTTGTGTAGATCTTGCATATTAAGAATAACTATGTTTTGATTTTTTTATTAAAATAATAATTGATACTTTTTAATCTCAACTTTTAAGGATTATGAATTCAATTAAATAGAGACTAAAAATAACTACCGAAGATGAAGAAATAATAATAATAAAAGTATAAGGTAAAAATTATTTGATTATTAGATTAATAATTAATAAAATTTATATAAAAAAAGAAATTCAAAATTCAAAAAAAAAATTTAGATTAAGCATCTATATATCTATCTATATATCAATATCTATATCTATTCTACATCTATCTATCTATGTCTATCTATATATTATATAAATTCTACCCCAAATATTAATTAGACACTAAAATTTGTCATTTTTATTTTAATTATAAAAAATATATAGTACTTTCACAATTAAATGTAATAAATATAAATATACATATTAATAATATTAGTTTTACCTTTATATCTTCTCATCTTCTTTTCTTCCAATTCTACTTCTTTTCTTAATTTTCTTCTTTAGTTTAATTTACTATATGTGATGAAAGCTAATAATGATACAATAATTCATAAAATAGTAAATATAGTAAATATACTCAAGAAAAGAGTGAATACTTAAGAATATTAAGTATTAAAGGAACAAAAAAAGAAATAGAATATTGTAAGTGAGTTTAAATTTTTTTCAATTTTTGACAACAAAATGTTAAAGTTTTTTCAATTCTTTAACAACAAAATCTAAGTGTTTTGTTCAAAAGATTTTTAATTCAAGATTTGATTGTAGGATATAAGTATTTAGATTACATAGTTTGAGCCATATTTTGAAAAGGTATATTAATTTTTCTTATTTAATGTTGAGAAAGGAATATTAAAATGATCATGTGCAATGCACATGTAACACACAGATATATAATCCTATTTAATTGTATAGTAGTTCTTTAATTAAGAAAAGAAAGAATATTGTTTAATTTTTAAATAGGATAATAATAAAACAAAGAGCAGATATATTTAGATTATAAGTTAAAAATTAATATCAAGTTTTTTTAAATTCTTTTACTATTTCTTCATTTGAATGCGGATATATACACCCTTTTAAAAAATTACTCTAACCAATAACTGAATACAATCTTCTATCTAATTTTAATCATTTAATTAGAATCTTTTAACTAAAAGTTACTATAAAATTCTAAAGTTAATAAAAAAATAAAAATTCAAACTCATGAAAAAAAAAAAAAAAAAAAACCAAAAAAAAAAAAAAAAAAAAAAAAGAAAGAAACTCATGCAACACATGCACAAATAAAAAATAAAAATTTAGTTAATTTTAAAATTAACATGTATGATATGAATAAAATATTTAATTTTATTTTTTTTATAAGAAATGGAGAAATTATATTAATTAAAAAAGAAGTACAGAAAAAACTCCATTACAAGGCATATAGCTTAAAGCATTATAACCTGAAGATAAAATCAGAAGCATAACTTACAGCATTAGTACCAGATTTAAACTATGCCCATAATGAATATAGATAATTAAGTAAAGAGAGTCATTTGCAAGTAGAGATTGCTATTGCAATTGCTGCATGGGTTAAATAATGCTACTAAAGTAGAAAGGAAAGTCTCTTTGAGCATCAAAAACCATTGGACGTCCTCACCTATTTAACCAATTTCGTGGGGAGAGCAAGGATTCCGACATCAAACAGTCCCCAACTTGCATGTTGCCTCCCAATCTATTTCTAAAAATAAACTAACAAAGAATGTTGTACCTATGATTTTGATGATTACAAAACACATTTGAGTGACTAATTGATTTATTTAAATGTGTAGTTAAATTGCCAATATACTGCAAAGTAAGCAAAATGAGATGCATTAAAAAGGGCTCAAAGGGTAAAAATATGCAAAGAGCAAGGCTTATGAAAATTGCAGCCGGCTCTGGGAAGCAAAAATGCAAAGAGCTGACTGTAGATTTTGTTGAGCCGGCTCTACAGGCCAGAAATTCAACTGATGTTTTAGCGCGCGTAGAAAATGGAAATAGAGCCGGCTCCCACTTTGTAACCAGCTATGAGGGCGCATTTAATGCACAATAGTTGACTTATTTGAAGAATATTTAATGTATTTAAAGTCAGAGTTCTAAAGCTGGCTCAAAGTTTTGCAGCCGGCTCTCGACAAAAACAGAATGGGCTGCAAACTCGGATAGCCGGCTCTGGAAGTGTAAGCCGGCTTTATAAAGCCAGCTTTATAGAACCGGCTCTAGAAACTTAAGCCGACTGTACTGACAGTTCTGCAACTCGAGCCATGCGTCCTGCTGAGCATTTAATGACCCCCAACAGCTAGAAACGGCTATTTTCGAGCAAGGGGGCTATAAATAATGTTGGTAACAGATATGAACAAGTCAAGAGGGCATTATATTGAATATCTTTACCTACCAACTTGTGCTTTAACTAGAGATTTTGATCTTTGAGAGATCTTTGTTTGTAATCCTCTTCTTGTGCTATTAGTGAGTGATCTTGGGGGTGTGTTGATTCCTTCAAGAGTGATCTGTAGAGAGGATCTTTGGGGTTTAAGTGTAAAAGGGTGAGATTTGAGAGAAACACCCTTCTTCTTGTAAAGGATTGAGTGGCTCCTTTAAGCCACCATTGTTTTTGTTAGTGGAGAGTGTGGAGGAAATCCTTCGTGAGTAAAGCCAAGGTAGACGATTGGGCTCCAAGTGGTTGGACCGAACTTCTATAAAATCAT